ATTCAATCTACCCGGATTATCTGCTCCTCTAGCCGGCCATTGCCCTTCTCTATCCAAACACGATCGAAACTTCACCAACCTATGTCAACTTTCCTTCTTTTTTCCATACTCTAGACTAGCCTAATACTCGACTTTTAGATAGCAGACAGGTGAAATGAAGCCTGCTGGAATTTGATGCACCACGATAAAGTTTACGGTTATGTTTTATAGCTCGAAACGAGGCTACAGAGGTTGTTTGCTTGAGGGAATTATGCGTGGGAAATGTGAAGAATAATGGTGTATAGTGTATGGTACTTGTAACGTTATGGGATTGGTTATGTGTTTCGTTGTAAACTAAGGACATTTTGAATATTTCAGGTGTTGTTTAAGGCTGAAGAAAATTTTAAAATCTTTCTCTATAATAAGACAAAATTTGGTCAATTCATGTAATAAACTTACAATTTCACGAAACTCCCTTTTATCTCAGAATTTAGATTCTTCTTTCTCTCGAAGAATTCACAGTTCAAAAGCGTTAATGTAGGTTCATCCCTAAGTTATTAACGCTCTGCGGTGTCTACAAAGTGTCTTCTGTCTTCTCTGCGTTTAGTATACACAGTGGTCGGTGGGAACTGTGCTAGCAGAGAGGGGTTTCGTCGCGGCTATGGGGAGGCGAGATATTGGCAGGCCTGCCTGAGGGCGTTAAACGTCGCTTTTCCACGAGAAAAGGACGTGATCTCTCGGTTTTGTTAGCGGAAAAAAGATGGTCTTTCTCTCGGAGAGAAGATGTAAATGATGATTTGTATGGGACAGAGGTTGTTTACCTTGCCTGGCGAAGGGTTCAAGCGGCGAGATGTGAAAGGAAGTTGGGATTAGAAGGAATTTCTCGTGGGAGAGACGTAAGTGTCGCGTTACAGAGCGAATGTGGAATTGGTACGCAGGTTTGTTTAGCCAATTCCAGATGCACAGTGGGCTGCAGACGATCTTCTTTGCTGATATTTTCACAGTTTGTTGCTCGAGAAAGATGTAAATACCGAGGCAGAAATGAGTGTTCTAATTGATTCTCACTTCGAGGGTGGTAAATTTCCATTTCCATTGAAGGCTGCTGTTCCTTGGGGAAATTTAAATGTTAATTGAAGAGTAGTGTCACCTGCTAGAATAATTTTCATCTTTCTAGGAATATTTTCTTTTACTTTCAGTAGCGGCTGAAATAATTTTGATGTTCGTTATAAGTGAGGCACTCAGTAGAGTATCTTCTTAGATTTAAATATGATATGTTGCACGATTATTTAAAAATATTCGTATTTTTCAAGGATTTTTCTCTTTCAAAATTTTCATTTTATCGATTTTAAACAATTGCACCTTCACTGACAATATATTCTTCGTTAATATAACAAAATTACACTCGTAAACAAAGTATCGTCGTCTACAATCATTAAAAAAAAAAAAAAACTATTACAAATTTGCCGAATCTCGTTGAAAAACCACTGGGAAGAATCCACAACTTCCAACTTTCTTCATTACTCCAAACTTCTCGATATCCTCGTATTCCAATAACCTAATGACAAATTACGCCTGTAATTTTTCATCGAATTCAGCACACGTCCGCCAACTTTGTTCCAACAAACTCTTCACCAGCTGGAAACCTCGCGCTTCCTACCGCTAGCCACGACGACCGTGCAAAGTGTGTTTCGATTAAAAACCATTTTGGAAAAAGATTTACGGTCCCGCGGCGAGTTTTTGCATTCCGCAACGAGATTCCTCTCCCGCCGTGGTAACGGCGGTAAAGTTGAAATATATACGGTGAACGTCGGCCGGCGCATACAAATCCGCCATTTGTTTCCGGTTCGCTCCTTCTTATTGCGGAAGTTGCGACCGTGAAAGTATCGGCCGGTGTGCTGTGCGGTATCGAGTTTACGGAACGACCGGTCATCGGATCAACGTCGGAAATCGTAAATAGCGAACGGGAGCGAAAAAACGTCCATAAAGAAAATTGCGCGAGATAATGCGGAATGGATGTGTCCCACCGATTCCATAACGAGATCGTTCCGATGTTTCGTTTCGTTTCCGGCTCCTTTTTCTTCCTTTCCACTTTGTTTCACGCTGATTGCCGCTGCTACGAACGCGGAAAAATTGCGCGGCTTAATTTTAAGGCGAATTTTAACGAATTTCTTTTGTTTTTGGTTCTAGGAAGTACCGTTCGTGAGATACTGACGAGACGGGGATTAATTGAAATTTGTGAAATTAGAGCGACTCTGCGATAGAAATTTGTTTCGTCTTTTATAGACGTTTTCGTAGACTTTGTGAGATATTTCGTAGTTTTATTGGATTTAAGGAGGTTCTCGTGAGTTATTGGCAGCGGTAAAGTACACAAAGGAAATTCAACTTGTTGAGGAACTCGTTATGGAATTAAAATTCCTCTTAAGCTGTTCTAAAGGCTTCCCTTAAGGTTGCTTCAACTTTCCTAGTTGTTTATATTCCCCTTCTACTTATACACACACGTATTAAAAGTCTATCGCGAGAATTCTACAAGGAGAATGATTATACGTTAGAAATTTTCGGAAAAAAGAAAGGCAATCCGTTATTTGAGAACGCTCGTTCTCCATCGTTGTCAGCTCTGTTTGCTCCTTGAAAATTTTCAGAGAGACAAGCAACCGGTCCAACAGTTTCAGCAAACAGTTCCAATAAACTTGGCTGCATCCGGTGAACGAAATTCGAATATTCCCGTGCAATTTTAGCGTAGTTTCGCGATAAATCTCGCGGCACAAAGGCGGACAGGCCGGGCAGAATCTGTCTGAGTATAAACGCGGCCCGTTTATTTATGCATATGACGCGAATTAAATTCTTGAGCCGCGACGACTGTATTCCCCGGCTTCGAATCACGGATCGTTTCGCTCCTCGACCACGAGAAAAATCCCTCTCGGCTCTTTCTCTCGACCTTTCCCTCCGCGTTCCGATGGGATTATTTTCGCGGATTAATTCTTGTTGCGCCGCCACGCATCGCGGTTTTATGCGTGATGTCCTATTATTGCACTAGGTAAACGTGTTTTACCCAACCAAAATTGTTCTTTTTTCTTTTTACAGAAAGGGTTTTTTGACGAAACGCCAGTGACACTGGTTTTAGGCAGAGTTTAATTATTTTAACCTTGATTTCGTTGGGGGAATTTTTCGGTGACACTTTGATGCAAATGAAAGTCAAATTTGAACCGACTTTGCCGAGAAATTTCAGAAGTACCGATTGAAATTTTCAGAAATTTTCGAAATGTTCTTAAATCTTCAAATTAGTTGAACACGTAAAAACGAAGCAATTTATTCGTTAAGTTTCATCCTCTAACTCTCTCGAATTTATAATACCCCGTATGATATGATAATGGAGCATATCTAGCTAATTATCTCTCACAAATGCATCCTTTATTCTCATCAAAATACACACTAAAATCCGTACCGCTGTACATTCTTAACAGAGTACCAAAAACGACGTCGAGAGAGAGAGAGAGAGAGAGAGAGAGAGCGTCTCTATCTCTCGTCGTTCCGGTGGCACAGAGGCAGCCTCATCGAGAAAATACAGTTTTAATCCTCTGACTCTGTACCCCAGCGTTATCTCCCTCACATTTCCATCCTCTGCTTAATTACAATTCTAATCGACTGCCTTGTACCCTCTCGGTGCGCTCCGCGTTCATTCCACATTTTCTGCTTTCAGATCCTCCAGCGGTTGCAATTGTCCCTCCGTGAAAGATGACTCTCGTCAGGAATCATCGAAGGATTACACGACGATCCTTGGTACCGGAACAACCGAATGTCCACGAGAAGAATCGCGTGATATACGAAAGGATAACTTCGAGGAACACTGTCGAGGATTAATATCTTGCGAAAGTTTCGCGAGTTTTCACGGTAGAATCGTGCGCGAGAGTGGATCGAGGGTTAGGCAGATCGTCGTCGACGAGAGGACGAGAGAGGATCAGCGAGAGATGCACGGTTCTCTGTGAAAATGCTGGTGGACGATTGCGGCAGCGCGATGGGGTGGACTTCGGCCAGCGTGCGCGGGGGTTGGTCCACCCCGGGCGGCTGCAGAAATTCCGCGATGAGCTTCGGTGGCAGCGTGCCCTCCCTCCACCCAGCTGGCTCGATAAGATCGCTACGCTCGCAGCATTCTATGCAGGTAATAAAACACGTTCGTTTGCACGGTCGTCTAGTCTGTGGCTGTTGGTCTAGTCGTCTAAAGAACTCGTCCGGCTGTTAGAATCGCGGACAGACTTCCTCGGTTTCGGTTGACAAATCGTTCGCTAACTTAGATGAAACTAATCGAATATTCTTGGTATAAATTTGTCGGTACAAACAGACGATTTTCGCGAAATATCCTTTGTCAGTTAGAGACAAATATCCCGTCTAACTAGAACTACTATGTTACACATCGGTCCATTGATGCAAACGCTAACTCCAAAACACCTGGATTCTATTATTGAGACAGAAATCGATGTTCGTTCGTCCGTGGCGTTTGCACGTACACATTATAGGGTCGAATCGTCAATCGGTTAGGATGGAATTGCTAGCAACGGCTAGCAACCCCCCTTAATCGGTATTCCAAGCGCGACACTTTCTGCCCGTTCGATAGATATCCCGAACGGTGTTTAATTTCCAGGCTGCGCCGTGGAACGTTCACGATTCACCCATGGACACGTGTTCCTCTGATTACCATTATCCTCCTCCATGCATCGCAGGCGTTTCTTTTCTTCAGGGTGTGCCGGAGACACCGCGAAGATGCATGCACTGCCACCCGGTACACGTGCCGAGCACACCGAGCAATTACGTGCACCATCCGATGCAGTATTACACGCCGAGTCATTGTCCAGAGCCAAGGAACGGAGTCTACACTCCTTATCGGGGCAATTCTTATCATGGTGGTGAGTCTAGAACACTTTTTACGTAGTATTACTAGAAGATTCGACAGCGAAGAAAATTGAAATATAACGACGTAAAGTATCGTGGGGAAATTTTTCGCTATTTTTGAGACGTGATAAAATTTGCAAATTATCGAGAGAATATTCGTAAGTACGTTCAAAGTTTCCGGGGTCAACGGTGCAACGATTCGGGGTCCTCACCGCCGAGTTCAAAGACCCAGGGTTCGACACGATCAAGTTCAAAGGCTCCGGGGTCGACGCGACCGCGCTCAAAGACTCCGGGGTCGACACGGCCGAGTTCAAAGATTCCGGGGTCACCACTCCGAGGTTCAAAGACTCCACGGTCCTCGTTATCGAGTCCAAAGACTTTGGGGACAATCTTACCGCGTGTAAAGACTTTTAAAGCGTCGCTATCGCTAGTCTCGTGAGTTTACTCTCAGCTTTCACGACTTTCAGATTATCTCTCGCGAATCTCGCTATCTCGATGCAGCGCTATCTTATTACTACCGATTCTTAAGACACCGTGAGTACCATTGATCTCGCAAATTTCTCGTCTTCGTCGTGCTCTCCTCGCGATAATTATCTGTAGTTTCGTCGTCTTTACAACTTCTGCATCTTCCTCCTAAGATTTCTCTATTTTTCAATTAGTACAGTTAGGCGAATTCCTTGCGTATCCTGATCTCTATACAGGGTTTCCCAGGAATCCTGATTTAATTAAGTGATGAAATTGATTTTCTGGAAAACGAAGATTTAAATTCGAAACTTTATTCAAGAAAGAGTGGTTGCAGCAGCTGAATAAAATTGTACACACTGAAACGATTTAAAAACCCTTGCAAACGTCTCGCTTATTTCCTTGACGTGAAGCAACGATTTAATTTAGCCTGCTTCCAGTCTGTGTTTTGCATTTCATTTGATTTCCCGGAGACATCTTTCAGCGGAATTGCACAAGTTTCCTCGTAAAGCCGCGGCAAGAACGCCCTGGCCCTTTCGGTCCGCGCGGTAAACTTGCTCATAATCTCAGGATGCCTCTGTTTTCGTTCTCGCGACGTCGCTTGCTAAGAGACCGGCCTAATCCGTTTCCGCCAAGTTTCGTGACTTCGTTCAATATTCAACAGCGTCGGAAGGAGAGGAAACACAGAGAGGCAAATAGAGAATATTTCATCGTGTGAGATTACACGCCATCGACTCTCTGCCATGCAAATATTTTATAACGAGCTGATAAATGCGATTTATTAAGCGCCGGTTATGAAAGGTGATAGTTTCAAGAGGCTCTTGATTATTCTAACTTATGCAATCCCTTTACTCATTTATATTCGCAATTTTACAAGTTGCTCGTTACTAAATCCTTCATCCTCTCGCGACTTTCTCAAATATTCTGTAATTTCTCCGTTTAATCCTTCTCTTTCCTCGAAGAAGAATAAACGAACGAACGAAGAGTAGTAGATAGTGTGTAGGAATTGATAGAGGAAGAACGAAGTAAGGAGAACGCATATGAGACGTGATCAATATCAATCGTAGAACAGTTGGAAGCTATACGAAGTCGTACGCTTTCAGAACGACTCTCGATTTCCTCGTCCTCCTCGTCCATCCATTAATTCCTCCATTCTCTTTCGATTCCTTTGGCGACTCCTTGGGGAAATTAGACTGAAGAAATTGTCTCTCTCGATCAGTGTGTTCCAACCAAAATTTCTCGCATCTCAAAAGAAAAAAGAGAAAAATAGAAATCAGCATAAATACCTAAAACACTGGAGATTTCGCGTCGCAAAACGAAATTTGCACAGCTTTGACAAATCCGGGAGGATTTGCAAATTAGCAGTAGATTCACGTTTTCACTAGACAAATCTGGTCCACAGGTTCTTCTTTTCTCTTCCTTTCTATTATCGTCACTAGGGACTATCTGATAACAGTTGGTCTATAAACTGCAACAGTAGCGTCGTTATCCGGACGGGAAGCTGCAGCAATTCGAGCGAAAGTAAGTTCAGATAAATCGGATAGCAGGAGAGATATATCGAGCCGACAGGCTGTGCTGGATTACGTACGCTGCCCTACAAAACAACGCGGCAGACGAGAGCGGCATTTGTTCTATCCGCGTTGTAATCTCCTACGAGTCGGCGAATCGCTGATCATCAAACCTTCGGTGCCTCGTCTCTTCCGCTACGTTTTCTTTCGTCACAGTCGTCTCACTGTAGTCGCGATGCTTGTTCGAAAGTGAATCGAAGATCTGCTCAATTTTAGGTCTTTGTAATTTCTTTATAATTAAAAAAAAAATTTTTTTTAAAGGAATAATTACTTAAGTTTCGATCAGAGATCTGTTCGATCTTAGGTGTTCGCAATTTCTGCGCCTGATTCTGTGTTATGATTGTATAATCTTTTCTCTGTGAACAATTCTCTGTTGGAGTTTAGTTCAATTTTGGATTTTTGCAATTTTGGATTTCTGCAATTCTGAATTTCTGCAATTCTGAATTTTTTTGCAATTTTCTCGTCCGACACTGCATTCTAACTTTAATTTTTACCTCAGGTCTGCATAATTTTTGGGGTTGTTAAAATTTTATTTATCTCAGTGCCCGGCTGATTGCTCTGAGAATTGCAATTTTTCTGCGGAGGATATTCCGGGCTCTTTCATCACGCATTTGTACGGGGATATTATATCTAAAATTCAGCAGAGAAGCTCCTCTTTTACGAATACAAAATTCTTCTCGCTCTACGAGGAGCAGTAACTCCATTCCTCTTTTGAGAATACAAAATTCTTCATACTCCGCAAGGGGCCAGTAACCACATCAAATTCGCCACTGTTTAACTTCAGAGTTGGTGAATTTTTGCTAAATTCATGCAAAGGTCAAACTTCGCAGCTTCCGAAAAATACACTCTTGAAAACTACCCCCGCTGGAATACCTAACACATCTCGAAGAACTTATTAAGGGGGTAGGTTACCTCTGATAGCCCGAAAACAGACACGCAATTTTCGAATAAATCCACGTCGCGGATAAACACCAGTGGACACTTGCCTGGACAAACTGGTCCCTTCGACGAAACGTATTTGCACGAACGTTCCCCTTGCACCCTCGCTCGCTGGTCAGCCGTGGAAATCGATTTCGAATCGGTTCCCGGCATTACCGCGCTCGTTCGTATTATGTAGATGACCGCGCCGCACGCAATCCCCGGCGAAATATCCGGTTCGATGGGAAACTTTCAGATTTTTCGCTCGATTTACCGCCATCGAAACCCTCTAGATCCGATCGCTCGCTTTATTTCCACTGTTTTCGATAAATTCACCTTCCTTTTTCCCCTTTTAATCGCGCGTTGCTAGTCGCTGATTGCGCTGAAACGCTGGCAATTGGTGTAGTTGTATGTTTATAACACTTCGTGATTTTTAAAAAAATAGTAAATTAATTTTGGACGTGTTAAATTTGTATCGATTTTTCTGAGAGATTTTCTGTGGTATTGAAGTGTCTTTAAATTTAGTCTGTACACTAATTTGTAACTCGAAGGATTAAGTATGCTTAGGTAGGTCAAAAAATCGATTTTCCAAAAATATTTTTACTTGAATATATCATTTTTAAAGTGTCTTCCATCGTGTCTCCATATCTAACAAATTTTCAGGAATTTTCACTGAAATTGTATGCTTTTCAATGTTAATAATAATTGTCCGATATGGTAAAATTTTACGCAGGAAAAATATTCTCATATATACACCTGTTTTTATACTTGCCAACAGTATGTAACCTTTTGAAATGTAACAATGCGAAAGAAATTCTAAAGGCTACAGGTGTATTTTAGTAATTTTTATTGTTGGGAGATTGTTGGTCGGACGTGAACGTTGTATTTTTAATGGTTGGTTTCATGTTCAGCAATTTTTTTTTTGTTGGAATAATTCTTGAAATAATATTCATGATGAAAATAAACGGGTCAAGTTAACGTTTGTTATACGGAGTGAAATATGTGTCTGACCATATACAGGCTGCTACTACTTACACGGTTTGTCATTTTATTTTCCCCCCTGTAGTCTGTCATATTTTTCCGCGATTCTTTTGTTTCCCTGGTTACTTTGTGCAGAATTTATGGAGATGTTAAGAGTACATGAAAATTTACCTGCAATTTTGTTTGTAATATTTTAACGGGCAATTATTTTCCATCTGGTGATTTGTAGGTACTTTCACGCGATAAATCTTCGTGATATATCGCGTGTTATTAATTTCTTCGTTTTTACTCCTTGCAACGAAACAATTTTATTCCTTCGTTTTATCAAAGAACACGAAAACTTGCACTATTTTTCAATTCCTGCGAATGAATATATCACAGCAGTCAGTTTTATTCCTAATAAACTTCAATTTTTGTTTTAACGTAGTAAATTATATCTCGACGAGTTTTACCTAAGACAGTTATAAACTATGAATAAGTAACTCTAATACATTGCAAAATTGCGAAATTGCAAAAATTAAATTTTTCAGGGGAGAAAAAAATGTTTTTTCCAGTTAACACTGAAATCACCTTTGCAATAATTTCACAACTTTATCGCATTATATGTTAACGGTAAAAAGAAAATAAAATCATGCACTCAGTTTAGATTCTCCAAAATGGCAGTTTCGCAATTTTCGAGCGAGCACTTTCCTTCGGAAAGGTTTGAATTTCACCGAAAAATTGAACCGTAATAACCAACTAAACGTGCAAAAGGATACGTAAAAATTCAGCGAATGGAAGAAGATGAAACGTTAAACACGTTTGAAAGAACGGCGACATGTTTTTGGAAGGAAAGAGCCGCGTTCGCGTCTCGCCGCGCTCGAGAAAACAATTTTCCCCGAGAAACAGAGAGACTTGGGGGTATCGTTTCACGCATCTGAAGCAACGTCTACGATCTGTCGTCATCGCGAACGACTCGCCGGAACAGCTAAATCATCGGATTCCCTCAGAAATCCTCTGACGTCCTGGCTTTTTCCTATCTCTCTCTCCCCCTCTTCGAGAGGGTTTCGTGTTCGTCTCCTCACCCGGTCTCGTTGCCGATCGAT